AAGAAAAAGAAAAAGAAAAAGAAAAAGAAAAAGAAAAAGAAAAAGAAAAAGAAAAAGAAAAAGAAAAAGAAAAAGAAAAAGAAAAAGAAAAAGAAAAAGAAAAAGAAAAAGAAAAAGAAAAAGAAAAAGAAAAAGAAAAAGAAAAAATTACTGTAACCTAAGATAATTTCTAACTGCCTTTCCAAAGAGGTTAGAAACTTCATGTGATTGTGCTTTCTCCTCCATTTCCCAACTCTTTATCAGTTCCCCCTAATAACTTTGGAACCCAGTATCTCCAATGTAATTGACACTGGAGTGGATGTCTTACATAAACAAGCCTGTGTTACCGATGAAATAAAAGTAGTTTATGGATTAGTAAATAACCTGTTGCAACAGGCAGCAGACAGCACACATCTAATACTGTCTAGCAGCCCTACTATGTGTTGCTTTTGACTTACTTGAATAGGCAAGAATAAGAGAAGAACCCGGGGATGATTTAGGAGAATCAAGGAAAAGTCAGTAATTGTGTACCTAGGGAGAGCTAGAAATGAAAGGAAATTCAGTAGGAAATTAGTCTTTAACTTCAGTTCTCATTAAGAGATTACTTTTTTATGTTTGTCTAAACTGCATGTCTGTAAGTCCAGCATAATTAGACCCTTCAGACGTCCAAAATAAGAAACATCTACCTAGTTGGTTTTGTTTTATTATATACAATAACTAAGAGAAATAAAAATATATGTATTATGAAGCCTTTACACCCCCATTAAACCTTAAAAAAAAAAAAAAAGCAACTAGAAATATTTCATGTACAACTTTGGACAATAGTCCCAATTTCAATGTTGTTCCACTTGTGGAATTCAGTTTCTTGACCTGATTCACTTGATTAACCTCCATAACCTATAAAAAAAAAAAAAAAAAAACAGAAAGAAAGAAAGAAAAAGGAATCACATCCAAAGGAATAATAATTCAAAGATACTGAATAGTCTTGACACCTGTATCCCATTGCTTTAATGTGATATTTAGCATCCCAAGATAAACTAGAAACATTTTAGGAGTGTTATTTAGTATTTCTTGTGCTCAAAAGAGTTTAATAAGGATAGCGCTGAGGGTTTTTTTGAGTGCTGAAACAAATATTTAGGGTACATACACATTTCTTTTTGGAAAAGTAGTAGGTGGTGGAAGACTGGTTGTCAAAGTAGAGGTTTAGTAGAGCACTGAGATTTTTAAAATGATTTTCCCATTCACTAGAGGAATTATTTAAACTAGAAACTTCTATATAAACAAAAGTGGTACCTTTTTATTGCATAGTAGAGAAAACTAATGGCTTCTTTCATAGCAAATTTCTAATTTCAGACTAAAGAATTGAGAAGGGTAGGTATGCTACATTTAGATTAATTTCAGTCTATTTTTTTCTAATTCAAAAACAGTTGGAAATATGTTTTTGGGAATAATAATTATTTATTAAAAGGCTAATTAAATATCAGTAGATTTATAATAAATTCACAAGCATGACAAATGTGTCTTCAATTTCAAATTCTGAGAGAACAAGTCCTTAAATCCAAAGGGGAAGGTATTGAGGTCAATATGTTTTCATGTTGCTTTCAGGAAAGCCTGTTTTCATCACAGCTTACCTTAGCAACAAGCATTACACAAAAATTTATGTGTTCTACAATGGAAATTAATAATGTAATGATATGCGATTTTTACCTTTGTTTGGACAATTCACATGATTTCCCTCTTTCTGTTCTTCTCGTTTTACCAGTTCAAAACTAACTATGAAAAGAGAATGTTTAAAGTAGATATCCCATCCAATGACACATCCACAGTGGCTTCCATAATAAGTAATGTATCAGCAGCAATGGAAACCCTCACACAAATGAAAGAGGAAATGGTTCCTGTTCCAGGTTCTGTAAATGGAGTGAATGCCCTTGGCTTGGTGGTTTTCTCAATAAGCTTTGGCCTGGTGATTGGAAGCATGAAGGAGCAAGGTCAGGCCTTAAAAGACTTCTTTGATAGCCTTAATGAGGCTATCATGAGACTGGTAGCTCTAATCATGTGGTAAGTGCCTCTGATAAATTACGTATTAAGTTGCTAACTTTATTCTTTCACTATGGTGGATAGTCTGTTTGGCAGGAAGTAGTACAATAAGAACTTAACTGAATTGTACCTTTCTGCTAAATGAGCTCCTAAGTTGTAGTTCTGTATATTTAGTTTTACAATGTGTTTGGCTTTTTACCCTGAGAAGAATCAGGATCTTTGGCACAATACACCAAGCTTAGTACTCATTCTATGTCTTCATAATGTGAGAAGTCAAAATAACATGCTATCAAAATTTCCTTATCATCTACTCAGACTTCACTAGAGGAAACTGGCAAACCTCTCCTATAATCTTATTTCTACACAGCAAGACCTTGCTATCAATTAGTTTCCAAAACAAGCAGCTCCTGCAATTATTGTAGTATGTCCTTGCATTGTAGCTGCACAAAGATATACATATTTTTTCTACTTCATTTCCTATGTTCAATAGATAAATAAAACCTATACATTTTCCCTCAAACATGTAGAAATCCTTTTCAAAAATGAAGTCTTATTTTCTGTCATGTAGAAGGTTGATTTTGAAAAAAATAAAAAGCTGAAATATCTTGTTACCTTCTTCACAATCCCCAAAACCTCAAAACCTACACATACTTTTGTAGTACTACCTGCAAAACTAAAAATGAGTATATTGTAAAATTCTCCTAAAACATCCAGAAAACTTCTGTGCAAATCAAAAATCTTTTCTCATTATTTATAAGCACACTTGAGATAACAAAGCAAAGGATAGAAAATGTTACTTCTGGTAGACTTCAACATGGATTTTATGTTTCAAAGTACAATTAAGATGTTCTAGATAATTATGCTCACTGATAACCAAGTGTAATAAGAAAAATGTGCATTTATGGAAGTGGAAATAGGACTCTCCAAAAATTCTGCTGTAATAATAGAACTGTGTTTCTGTAGATCTGTAGAGTTTCATGCTGAGTGCTAACTCCTTTATTTGTAGCTGCACTTACTGATAGGAAGAAGTATATAAGACCACTCATGTTGCTACCCCACAGTGCCATGACCTCTGCTGTACAGACAGCTTCATGCTAAAGTATTTATGGAGTGCTCCACTAGGAATGGACAGAAGCATCTTGAAATCACTGGAAGAGTGAATTCTTCCTCTGTGACATAAGAAACAACAACGGAGAGAGAACAGAGATGGGCACTTGGCATAATCTCCAACTGTGTTGAATGAGACTTCATTCTAGCAGGCAGAATTTTAACAGAATTTGCTAAACCAGCTTTTAAATAATAATTGAATTACAAAGGAAGCTCATCTCCCTACATATGAAAGCCTAATGCTGGAAAATTTTGAGCTGAAACTGTTCTTCTAATGATTCTTCCTTTACATGCGATGTCAGTCCACGTGTCTGGCCAATTCAGTTTTCTTAAGTGATTTACATGCATTTTTAAGTTTTTCTTCAAGGCTTTATGTCTGAAAGGCATACTATACTCCTCTCACATTCATCTTACCAGATTCTGAATCTAGCAGAGCCTATCAAAAATTTTCACACTGTGCTTCATCCAAGTTGAATTCTCAATAGTCAAACAAACTCTAGAACTGCTTCTGAACTACAATCGTCCCATTAGTAATATCCTACCTTCATGCACGTACACGAACATGTAAAAGATATGAACAGGGGAATGTTTTATATTGTTCATTACTACACTAATTTGATTTCTTATTTGCAGGTATGCTCCACTTGGAATCCTTTTTTTGATTGCTGGAAAAATTGTTGAGATGGAAGATATGGGTGTAATTGGTGGTCAGCTTGCCATGTATACTGTAACAGTTATAATCGGTTTGCTTATCCATGCTGTCATAGTCCTACCTCTTCTGTACTTCCTAATCACTCGTAAGAATCCCTGGGTATTTATTGGAGGCCTAATCCAGGCATTAGTCACAGCTTTGGGAACATCTTCCAGGTAGAAAACAATATTTTAAGGTCAAATATGTGTTTTTTAATATTATTGGTTTAAGAAACACTTTTGCCTAATGCAACTGGTTGACTTCCCTCTGAGAGATTATTATTATCATTATTTTGACTCAGGCTCTTATTTTTATTAAGAACTCCTGAACAGACATGAAATTGATGTGTTTGGTGATGCAGACTGTATGGCTGAACCCCTTGTGACATTGGTTAGCCTATGTCTTGGAGTTGTATAGGTAGTTTGTAACTGTTGGTAAAGGATGAAGCTGGCAAAAGAAATCTTACATGTATCAAAACAAAGAAGCAAGCACAAAGACTCAGAGGCAATTGTGAGAGAGCTCGAGTCTTGGCAGGTGATTTCCTATTCTAAAGATCCTGGACCTGCAACAGAAAGGCCCCTATTGTTCCATGTCAAAGGGACTTAATGTGAACAAATATCTCTCTCCATCTGTGATGAAAGAAAATGTTGTTGAAATCAAACATGTATTTCCTATACCATATCCAGATGATAAACTATTAGGACTATTAGAAAAGAATCTGAGTAAATTTTGTATTGCTCTTGAGGCTCTTGAGGACTTAGAAAAGACTATGTCATCATATTTTCAGTTAAAGAAAGACAACTACTGTTGAAACTGACTCTTCCTTGATTGACATCTTGGTGTCAGTCCTTGCAATGTGTGGAATATCTATGGAATGTCTAAAAGGGAATTTTCTCAACAATTTTAAAAGGAAAATAGTACAACATAGTCCAAGAGAAAATAAATGGTGGCAATTACAAAAAAAATCTAATTTTATCAAAACTTAAATTTGGTGTGTAAGAGTAATAGCGTTCAAAGTGTATTTTTCCAACTTTTAGCTGCTGAAGATTCTTAGTAAGAACCTAAACAGTTGCTGGATTAAGACAGCATAATGCAAGTAGATTTAAAAACTATTCAAAATTCAATTGTACGTTGTCACCAAAGGGATTTTCTAGCACAATCTTTACTGCCCTTCTTTACACTTTATCAGTATTTTTATTTTATCAGTATTTATCGAGTTTTCCAAGTCTGTGAAGTAGTTAGCAATGAAAAGGTCACTGACACACAGTAACATGGGTTGCTGAAAAATCTCTACAATGTGATCAGATGGAGAGATTGGAGAGATGTATCTTTAAGAACAGAAGCCAAGTCCACTCTTACAGAATAGCCAACTAGTCCCAGAGGATCAGGAGAACCTACAGTATTATATATGCCTTGGCAGATATATATATATAATCTGGTAGATCACAAAAATTTAAGACAATTAGAAAAATCTTTCAAGTCATCGCAGTGAATGACAGGGTACATTCCACTATGTAAAACTCATACCATGCATTATCTTCTTTTTGTTTCAGTTCTGCAACACTGCCTGTTACATTTAAGTGTCTAGAAGAAATAAATGGAGTGGACAAACGAGTTACAAGATTTGTACTGCCAGTTGGTGCTACAATTAATATGGATGGCACTGCCTTATATGAGGCTTTGGCTGCAATTTTCATTGCACAGGTTAACAACTTTGATCTGAACTTTGGGCAGATTATCACAATCAGGTACAGACATCATTATTACCTACATCTAATCAAAGCATCTTTGTGATGACTCTATGTCATTAAATAAGGGATTAAACAAAAACATCTAGAGCTAAAAACAAGAACTACTAAAGTAGCTAAATAACTGTAATTATTTACACCTTCTGCACAGAAGAGGCCCCAGCACATACTCTTCATTAGGTAAACATTTGAAAAACTGCTGCATGACATATGTATCACTGTACTTAGTAGGGTCAACAAGAAGTTTTAAATTTCTTTTGTCATTAAAATTTTCTTGAAGTATACACACAGATGTCAGGATCTGCACCAGATAGTTTAGAGTGCACGCACCAAGCTGTAGCATAAGAGCAGCACAGCGGCATGGTACAGTGCTACGGATAGCAGGGTGCTATTTTCCTAGTCTTGGTCTCAAGTAGAGCAATCTGTGTAAGGAGAAGCAGTACGTTTTGTTAAATCAGCTCATAGAGGTGGAGAAAATGAGCATGTTTTAAAGCAACAAGCCTTTATGTTTGAAATATAACAGCAAAAAAAAAAAAAAAAAAAAAAAAGCGTAAGTAGCACTTGATAATTGATTGGCATTAATTTTATTATGTGACTGAAATGGCTTAAAGAAAAAAGTGATGGGTACATGTGCATTACTGATAAATGTCAGCAAAGGGAAAGTGGGAAAATGTGGGCAGACAAACAAGTACTTATTACTCAGCAACACTGTACATTCAGATAATGGTGACCTGGAAACACAGGATAAACACAGGTAAAACTGCCTTCACACTCCAGGGCAGAAATTCAATATTCATTCATACTAGAGCTGCTCCCTGACAAATCATCTGGCAAAACAAAATTCTTGCTAAACTGAATGTGAACAAGCATATTTATGTCAAGCTACTGGAGTGTATGATTCAGGGGGTTTGCCAGTTTTCTGTTTCATGTTGACTGAATTCAAAATGGTGCAGGAGTTGGTAATTCATCTAGCATAAGGTTATAGTGAGATGGACAGAGAATTAAACTTTTTGTATCAGATCTGCCAGGACAAAATTACTTCCACAACCTTAACACGTTTGGGGTGTTGGAATTGGTTTGTTCAGTGAGTTATGGCATGTGCCTATAATGTTTTTGACAGGCCGTAAGCACAAAGGAGGGGATTTACCATGACACAAAATCACGTTACCAGAGTTCAGGATAAAAGTTCAGTGTATACATTTTGGACTAAAATCCATATACCCCTCCACCTGTGCCGTGTTCAGATTAGGGTCTCGTTCACAGTTTTCTTTACTAAAGAGCAAATGACTTTTTGCTTCGTATTTGTTTTTAATGTTTATCAGCTGGTAAAGTGTTTACTATGGAAGTGAATTAATTGTTCTTGCTGTCTCTTTGCACAGCATCACAGCTACAGCTGCCAGTATTGGAGCTGCAGGCATTCCTCAAGCCGGACTGGTCACCATGGTCATTGTGCTTACATCAGTAGGTTTGCCTACGGATGATATCACTCTTATCATTGCAGTGGACTGGTTCTTGTAAGTATTTCTATGGCTGAATTAAGAACTTAGACCATATTTGGAGGTAGCAGTAGCAGGCACAATTTGACAATACGGCAGTCTGCAGTGTGCTTTTGCTGCAGAAGTCTTGAATCACAATTTCTTGCAAATAGTATATGTATTTAAAGCAGATGGTTTAGCCTAGTGATGGCTCTTCTTGTGTGCAAAAGGATGATTTATAAACCTGGATCCTTAGAATACTAAGAAAATTTTCATATACACTGTAATGCAACTAGAAAATAATTTCTTTAGTGTTTCAACTTATTTATTTACTTATTTATTTATTTATTTTGGAGGCTGTTAATGAAATTCTTTCCATCAATCAGATTTAGAATATTGTAGCCCGTCTGGTTATTTAATCCAGGAAAGGTTAATGTCTTCCACATAGACACAGAACTGAAAAGTTGTTTACTTCTTATCCAGCAACCTGTAATATCAGCAAAAAACATCATCAGTTGTTCTGTTCCTTTGTCTGCAGAAGACAGTACAGCCACATCCATAGGTATGCAGGGAAATCTCCTAGATCCAAGAAGTAAATCACAGGCATGTTTCTTCCAATCAATTTCTCTGACCTAGTTTCCAGCGGCTTTTACCCTTCAACTCAAGGATCAACCAAGTGATCCTTGCAAGAAGTTGGAGGAAACTCTGGTCAGGAGGGAAATGAAAATAAGGCAGATTCTCATTGGCTTATATGTTCAGAGGGTATAAACTCAAACAAGTATAAAAATGCTTCTGATAAACACTTGCCATATGCTCCCTTTGTTCTCCACATCACAAACTGTTTTTTAGTGTGGAGTTGCCAACAGTATTAACAGACTTAATTTCTCCAAATCCCAGTATATTGCAACTTTCTAGAAGGAATAATAACATTAATGGATTCGACAAATATACACTGTCTACATAAAACTGCTGAATCATGTAGTAGATAAGTAATGGCAATTTTAATATCTTGTCTGCATACTATATCATACCAGTGATAAACTCAAAGTTAATTTATTATTTCTCCTTAGGGATCGTCTCCGTACCACCACCAATGTCTTGGGAGACTCCATTGGAGCAGGGATTGTTGAACACTTATCACGGCATGAGCTGAAGAACAGGGATGCTGAGATGGGAAATTCTGTGATAGAGGAGAATGAAATGAAGAAACCATACCAGCTGATCTCGCAAGAAAATGAGAGTGAGAAACCTTTAGACAGTGAAACCAAGATGTAGGGTAAAGGAGGCATGAGTCTAACACTACAAGTGCGGAAAACATACACTTTTCCCAGCCTTCTGTATCTTGAATTCACGACATTCACTTATCCCTTGTCTTTTCCCTTTATGCTAGCACTGAAAAGAATTAATGGAAATATATTCCAAAGTAGCAGTGATCGAGTGGCTTCCCACATAAAAATAAAAACAATTAACAGACAACAACACTGGTCCTGCTAGACATGTGCTAAGTGAGGATAAAAAAAGAGATATCAACAATTAAATTAAAAGGAAAAAAAAGTATATATGTTACTCAGTCCTTAAATGTGATATTTTTAATGAACTGGAAAGTAACAACAGATAACAAAGCTTGAAAATGTTTTTATTCTTTAAATACCTGTTGGAAAAATTTACCATCTGTAAGCACAAAATCAATGCTTCCACCTTGATAACTGCATCCAGCTGGATGATTTTTTCACTTGATGTTCTTTTTTTTCTAGCATTACAGCCTTTTTCAATTACTAGACAACAAAAGGACATTAATTGAAAGAATAAAAAAGGAGGTGTATAGATACAGAAACAATTCCCACAATCAGCACTTTGTCAGCTAAGCTGAAATACTTCTGAGAAAGTGATTTTATCTAGACACTATTTTTTATGCTATCCTCAGCTGATCTTGACAAAAACTCAGCCTAGTCAGTTCCCATGGATTTGCAGACATTTGTGTATGTATATATATGTACCTCCGCACGGATTTGACCTTTAACTTCAACTCCACAACACAGCTGAACAATCAATGTCTGTAAATGTTTGTAGGGGCAAGGCCCTAGGCTGTACTGACTCTGGGACTGGAAATGCATCTTCTACTTTTGGGGATATAAAAAAATATGCTTTAGGTGCGCCAATTAATCTACTTAATAAGCAATAATATAAATAGGAGGCAGTGCCAGCCCTCTGCAGAGAGTGCAGAAGGGTGAGTTGTTCAGATCCTAACAGGACTGGATTCTAAATCTGAATCCTTAGGGCTAACAAGAGATCTTCTGATTGTAGAGCTCCGAAACCCTTGGTCCTTCACTGATAAGTAATAAAGCTGTTAGCCAGACTTATGTTTTTCCACCTGGAGAAGAAGGCTCCCTATTTCAATGCAAAATTCCAAAATCCTTATGCATTTATGAGCAGCATCCCAAAAACAAAAAAAAAAACCCTCTAGAAAGTAAAACTTATGGGTGCTTTTTGACTTTTTACTAGGAAAAATATATAAATCTAATCTAAAATACAAAATAGTAAATATTATAATAAATATATAAAAAATGATTAGAAAGGATTTTAAAGCGCAATATTGTGGGCTTCTTTCAGGGAATCAGTAGGGAAAGAATGAAAAAAGAGAGACAATGCACTTGTAATCCTGTTGCTTTTTTTGTTCATTCCAGCATTATTCCCCAGTGAAGCCCCTTCTTAGAAATAATAATTATATATGTTCTCCTTTTAACTTGTATCATTGTAGAGGTTAAACTGGAAAGTTTTATAATACAGCTACAGTTAGGGGAATTAAGAAATGCCAATCAATCAGAAGGCAGAATAATATTGAGTGATTGTTTTTATTTAAATGTTTATTTTTTTTCTTTCTTCCTTGCCCAACAAAATAAAATCTGACTATACGAATGAAGGATTCCCTTGTAATTCCCTTGCAATTCCCCAAGTGTAACACAAAACATATGCAGTATGCTGCTTTTGTCTTTAGGAGAAAATAAATGCAGTGTATTTCACTGTAATGAAAATGTCAACATCCTGACTGAAGGTAAATTTTTTCCCATGTTAGAGCAACAAGGCAAGACTGTTTTGTTTAGGACTGAAAACTCCTGCCCATCTTCTCCAGTTGTTTAGTCCAGACGATAGGAGCAGGAACTCTTCAGTGATTGAAGTGAGCAGGGTTTAACTCAGAGCATTGAGTGGTCAAACCTACAAAGCTCTTAAATTAATCTCTCACTGAAAGAAATCAAGTGTGACTTTTATGTTTTTGCTAACAAAATGCAAATCTAGGACAGATAGACATTTTCTGATACGTGTAATTAGAGATATTTTTATATAGATACTGTATTCAAAATGTGTGCATAAATTTTAACTGTAGAATGTACAGCATAACAATTTAATTTTTGTTAAGATTCTGTTTGGAAATACATTGCAAAGACATAATGCAAATGGCTGTCTTTCTATGACATCAATTGAGAAAAATGAGTTGTTTCACAAGACATGCTATCCTTTTTATACTAACTTTGTTTCTTATGGAAATCAGGTATTACAGAAAGATTCCCTTGCTCAGTCCTCATTGGTTCTGCATTGGTATGCACACAGAGTGAATTCATAAACATTACTTTGTAGATGTATTTTCAATAAAAATAGTTTTACATTACTGCTTTTTGGGGGGATTTCTTTCAAAGGCTCTCTAACCAAAGTTCTACGCAAACTCAAAGCAAACAAACTCATAATATGGGACTTCGGGAATTCCAGGCTCTTTACACAGCAGGGGTTCCTCACTTCAAATATCTGCTTAGAGTTCCAAGATCAAAGAAAATAGATAAGTGAAACACCACTGACAAAAGAAGGCAAGGAAGTGAAGGCAGAAAGGAACATCAAAATTATAAGAAAAAAACGTCCAACTGAATGAAGTTCATTCACATTTAGGTACATAAATACATCTCTGCAAAATCTTAAAAGGTAAGCATTTATATTTTAATTGATTCAGTAACTGAAAAGCTGCCAGTTCATTTTGAATGTGTAATACATGGTCCAAACGCAGTAAGGTCACTGTGCCATGGGAAGTAATAGAAGTCCTTTGACTGGGGTATTACAGCACTGTAATGTTATGGCCATCCTAGACAATCCACTGTTTTTCTCACAGAAGTAGTTTGTTATGGTGTCAGGGTTCATTTGGCAACAACTTCAGCTAGCAGAGATACTATCTAATGGAAGTGAATATCTTGTCAGAAGGAGTGGGAAGGTATGTGAGCTGAATCACTTGCATTTGGAAATCTGTCTTAGTTGGAGCAGATGGACACAGCAGTGAGAAGTCTTGCCTTCCTGAACATGGCAACAAAACTGGACAATGACCTTCACTGATTCATCTGCAGTGTTTTGAGCAAAAACAATACATAAATGCAATCAGCTTTAAAAAGCAAGCAAACAAACAAAAAAGTAATGGTATTACCAAATGCATAAGCATAGTTTTTCCCATTTTTTTATGTTGCCTACACGTTCATTCTTTGATTCAATTCAATTTGGTATCTTTGTGTTTCTATAATAACTGTCACAGCATGAAGAGCTAAAGAAAAGAGAGTTAGTACATTACTTGGAGGTGTTACTGGCACAGTGACCTCAAAGTTCTATGGCTCCATACAGAATAAAGATCTCTGGTATTCTATAATTTTTCAGTGGTGGTTTCATTTGGAAGCTGAGGTACAAAACAGGCATGCCATTCTTAGACAACAATTTATGTCTCTGTAACAGTGTGTGGCCCATACAAAGCAAAGGGATCATGCATGTGGAAAATGAACTACTGGCACAAGCGAGTGCTTCTGCCTTCCTTTCAGAAGGACTAGTTTGAACTAGGGACACTTGTGTTCCAACGCAAGCACAATTGATGAGAAATTGAGGGCATTGTTTTCAAGCAATAATATAACATGTATTTGGTTTAATAAAGAATAAAAATGATCCAGAAGAGTATAACTTGCTTCTGACATGATCAAATGTGCTAGCTGTTCTTGTTGTAATCAACACAGTGTCATCAACTTGCTTCTAGCATGATCAGCTGTTTCCCAGAACAGGATAAAAAATTGAGGTGAGCTGACAGATCACTCCCTGTCTGGTTTTCTGTCATTTTTTTTTATTAAGAGATTGGCTTACACTGGAAGTGTGGAGCAATAGAAAGATGGGGAGAGATGTCTACACCTCCACACCAATCTGAAAATCCAGAGTTGCAACATCATCTCTCGGCAGCAAAATTCTCTCTGACAGTAAAGAGAACATTAGCTGGAAGATAACATTCTGCATGGTGAGACTTTTCTGTCCTTTTCCTGTCCTTTTTTCCTCCCTTCTGGCTCCCACATACACAGAGGTATCTAAAATGCCAAAATTTTAGAACAGGAACATTTTCATCTCCAACCAAAGTTTTTCATTAGCATGCCTCATTACACAACTAGGGCTGCACAAATAATTGATTTTTCACTTCAGTGAGAGAACTGAAAAACATGGGAGAATAAAATTTTTCCGTGGCATCATGAAACAATTTTTTATTGCTAATTTTTTATTACAGAGCAGTCTGTTTCAGGTATAGCTAAATGTGTCATTCTCCTCTTCTTGAAACATCTCATTTTAATCTCATTTCTGGATTGATTTTAGTTTATTTAAAATGAAATGAATCAGCTTTTAAGTGAATTGCCTTTCTCAAATAAAACACTGAACAATTTTTCAAGGTAAATATCAAAAAGAAATAGCTCAACTTTTCTACCTCTCCTCACTTTAAAGCCAGTTGTATTCACAAAAGCTGGCACCGCTTCATAAGCACTTACCTCAGCACTGCATTTTTCAGCAATATATTTTTAAATGAACACTTTTTCTTTGCTCTTTACAACTTTCTTTCCCCACACATTGTATATTTTTCTGCTTTTCCTTATTGCTCAGAATTTTTTCTTCATTGTTGACAGAAAACAAGGTACTATCAGAGGAGGGCCACAAAGAATGATCCAAAGGATGGAACATCTCTCCTTTGAGGATGGTCTGATAGAGCTGGGGTTGTTCAGCCTGTAGGAGAGAAGGCTGTGGGAAGACAAGAGAGGAGCTTGTCAGTATCTAAAGGGGGGCTGTAAGAAAGAAGGGGACAGACTGTCTGGCAGGGCCTGTGGTGATAAAACAAAGGGAAATGGTTTCAAACTAAAGGAGAGGAGACATAGATTAGATATAAGAAACTTTTTGCAATTAGAGTGGTGAGGCACTGAAACAGGTCACCCAGAGAGTGACTTAACTCA